GGGCGGCGGGCACCGGCAGCGCGCGCTGCGCCGACTGCGGGGCGGCGGGTAAGGACGCCAGCGCCAGGGGCAGGGGCGGCGAGCAGCTCAGGACCCTAGCCCCCAGCTTCCTCCCTCTGACCTCACAAGGTCTCGCCCCGACCCACCCTGGATACTAACGTGACCCTTACTCCACCCAAACCCTGGCCCCTGCCTCTCCACTCGGGGCCAGACACTTGCATATCGTTGAACCCCAACACTAGATCCCGTAGCCGGGCGCCCTGACAGTCCTGCTCGCTTTCCCGACAGACACCCGCTGCCCCTGCTGGGCTCCCGGTGTCTTCCCTGTCCACCAGCCACCTCCCGCGCCCTCGGACACAGACATCGCCCACACCCAGAGACCCAGACCGGCCTGGGCTCCTTGCGGTCCACGGATACCCCCCACCCCGAACCTCCTCGGCTCCCCACTACACAGCGCTTGGCCCAGGCGCACCCAAGGGGCCCTGACTCTGACCTCTGCACCAGCCAGGCACCTCCGTGCCCGTCCCTCCCCCCGTGCCCTTCCCTCACCTCCCCCTGTGCCCTATCGGTTCCACGGCTCGCCCCCCTCGGCAGCCTCTCACCTCCACTCCCTGGACCCACTCAAGACCCTCACCCTCCACCTCCTGGTCACCTCTGCCCCACAGGCCAGTGGGCTGACCAGAAGGTTCCATGCTGGTAAATTAGCTCGCTCAAGGTGAGGGGATGAAAAGTGGACAGAGGCCTCCCTGCCAGGGCCTGCCTTTCCTGGCGCCCCAGCCCTCCCCGGCTTTCCTCGCTATGCCTCTGCTCAGCTCTGCTCCTCCCTCTCCCCACAGATCCCGACTGGGCCTCTTACAAGCTGGGGGTCTTCATCTGTCTCAACTGCTCCGGTGTCCACCGCAACTTCCCAGACATCAGCAAAGTGAAATCCGTGAGGCTGGACTTCTGGGAGGACAGTATTGTGGAGGTAGCAGGGCGTGCGAGTGGAGAGCCTTGGAGCCGCAGAGGCGCGTGGAGGCTGTGGGCTGGACGCTGCGGTTCTCAGAGCGGGAAACGGAGGCTCAGAGAGGGGCAAGGTCTAGTGGGAGGAAATACAGTCTATTATGGTGATGGCTTAGGCAGAGGCCTGGGGTTCAAATCCTGACTCCATCACTTGCTTATGTCCAAGCGTGAGGCCCTGAGCTACTTTAATCCTAGCTTGGACCCTCCGTTCCCAAGTGTGTATTAGAGGAAAGCATCCTTCTTTCACAAGGCTGGTGCATGGGTTAAATGTAGGCGCCCCACGGGCAGAAAGTAGGTGGTCAATTAACAGTGGCTGTTATCATGAATGAAGTCCTGGTCTGGGGCAATGGAGATACCATTCATGTCTATGACCCTCCTTCCCTGCCCCTAAGCCAAGAAGGGGACAACTTTGCTTCAGTGATGTCTGGAGGTGGGGGGCACCCTCAGTCTGGAAGGTAGTACCTCAGAGAGCAGGCAGGACTAAACTCTGCTGGTTGGCTGAGGATTTCGAGGACTGTGGGAGAAACAGGTCCACATTTACCGAGTGTCCACCCTGGGCCAGGAATGGTATTAGACATCACTGCACCAGATGCTTTATTTATTCATTCAATACATAGCTACCGTGAGCCTGCTGCAGTGTGCTGGGCACTAGGAGGGAACCCTGAACGAGATGAGTTCTCTGTCCGGGAGCTTACAGTCCAGGGCAGGTGAAAGGCAGAAACTCATAAACCAATGCATAAACCTGAAGATTTTAAATCTGTGCTCCTTAACTCCCCTATTCTCTTCATTTTGAGATCCTAAGGCTCACTTGGCAAAAAAATGGCAGTCAGGATTTGAACCCTGCTCTGTTGGATACAAAGTTGGTGCATATCCTGCAACACAGCCCAAAATCCTGAGAGGAGAATGGAGGAGAAGGGATTGCAGCGTGGCTATTCCCCCTCGGGGGTGCTGTCTTACTCTGCCTCTTTCTGTGTGCCTCTCTCTGACAAGCACACATGCCCATAGCAAAACTTAAAAGAAAAAAAAAGAAAGAGAGGAAGAAAGAAAAGAAAACAAGGTTGAGAGGATCCAGTGAGCTAACGTGAGGTCTGGAAAGTTATTGCCGCTCGTCAATCAGGCTGGGACTCCCAGCTGGGTGGCCTGCCAAGCCTGGTGGGACATCTTCTTAGGAGCAGTTTCTTTTGATCCAGCCTAGGCGCCAGTGAGACCAGTGGCCTTCTGGGTAGACTGTGGTTTCATTTCATGTTTTTTCAAGTTCTAATATTACCCTGAGTTGCTGTTGTCTTACAGTTTATGACCCACAACGGGAACCTCCGTGTGAAGGCCAAATTCGAAGCCAGAGTTCCCGCTTTCTACTATGTTCCCCAGGCTGATGACTGCCTGTGAGTGAGATGCCTTAGGGGCTGGGTGAGGGGTCTTCCTGATCTCACCTCCCCCACCCCTACCTACCCACAGAGCCTTTGTCTAGGGTGGTCTCCATGGTCAGCAGGTAGATCCAGAAAAGCACTTGGTGCCATCATGGGGGGCTCACAGGAGACCGGGTGTAAGCCTCCTTCTGCCTCTATTGCTTGGGTTCATCATTTCCTCTCTCTGGGCCTCAGTCTCCACAGCTGGAAAATGGGGATTTTTCTCTATGTTCATCCCTCTGCCTCTGACATTCTTCTTCTTCTTCTCTTTTAAAGAATTGTTTTATTTAACTTCATTTATTTATTTATTTTAATTTGACCAGAAAGGGACAGAGAGAGAGAAAGTGAGAAAGTGAGCTGCCAGGTCCAGGACTTGAACCACAGTCGGCCACACGGGCATCCAGCACCCTTAGCCACCACACCTCCTGCCGGCCCCCCTCTGACATTCTTCTGTTCTACAGGGAGAAAAGCTGGTCGCTGGTAGAATGTGTTTCAGCTACTCTCTATTGACTGTTCTGTCTAGAGCTGCCCCACCTAGGCCAAGGTTGGCTCCACACAACTTGCGTGAGCTGCAGATTCCTAAAGAGTAACCGTGAGAAAAACAGTAGTTACTAATATTTACTGAGCTTTACCTAGGTACCGGGCCCCGTGCCAAATGTTCATGTACATTCATTTGTTTAATTCTCCCAGTGCCCTATGAGATAAGCACTGCTCTTACCCCGTTGACATAGATGAGACACCTGAGGTTTATAGAGGCAGAACTGAGTCTAGCCCGTCTGAACCCAGACCTAGGTGACTGCCTTGGGAGAATCCCAGGTACCAAGGGGGTTCTGAAACAGCAGGAAGGTTCATGTCCTCTGGACGCAAGAGGTCAGTGTTAGACTGGTCCCTAGGGACCTCAGACCTCTGCAGCACTAACTGCCCGAGCCTGAGACTCCAGGGACTCAGCCTGAGCACCAGCGTTGCTAGACAGCACTTGTTTAGACACACACACTCCCGGGGGCATGGCCGGCAGGCAGAAAGCAAGCTGCCCTTCAGCCCTCTAACCTTAGCAGGGTGCGTTTGAGCAATGCACAGCCTACACAGTTGTACCTGTGGTCCTGCAACGTCTCAGGACTTACACCACCCCAGGGCTGCTGATGCACGTGGAGCGGCCGGTGAGGCCTAGCTTTCTACTCAAGACCTCTCCAACGGCCTAGCTGTGAGGACAAGCTACCAGACCTCTGGTTCTCAGTATCCTCATCTCTGAAATGCAGACCACGATGCCTGTAGATGGTTGTAGAGACAAAATGAGATAACTTATGGAAAACCTCTCACATTCTACCTGACACACTAGTTTTCTGCCTTGGATAGTTCTGTAGGGGGAAATATTTTCCTTCAGGAGACATTTGGCAATGTCTGGAGACATTTTTGAATGTCACAGCTGGGGAGGGGGTACCATTGGCAGCATGTGGGTAGAGGTCAGAGATTCTGCTAAGCATTCTCCAACGCAAGGGACAGCCACAGCGAAGCATTACTTAACAGCAAGTAGCACCGAGGCTAAGAGACCTGGCTAGCCCACAGGGTCTTGAAAAGTCACGGTGTGAAGAATATCAGACACAACTGACCAAACGTTCTCCCTTTTTAGGGTCTTAAAAGAACAATGGATTCGTGCTAAGTATGAAAGACAGGAATTTATGGCTGATAGGAAAACCATCTCACTCCCAGGTAAAGTTATTTTTATCCTCTTTTCAGATCTGTATGCTGAGCTCTATAAAGAGCCTGAATGTTAAGAGCAAGAGATGCCTGCTGCCCTTGCTCTGGCCACAGAGGTCAAGATGTGGGTTCCTCTGCCTCTGAAACAGCAGCACATAAGCCCGAGGGGTTCTGTGGTCTGAGCAGCCGAGAAGCACATTGGTCTCAGGTGCTTGCAGGCCCACAAGCCTATACACTCGCATCTTAGTATTAAGTGCAGGACAGCTCCTCCATGGGGCAGACCCATAAGAAAAATGCACCCCTGCTCCTGGCCAACGCAGCTCTGGGTGTGTGCAAGGTGTCATAAGAAGTGTGGGCTGAATTTCAGCTTCCCTTTCTGCCACCGTGCAAGACACAGCCTCCTCCGTGGCCCTGGGCCACTGCCCTGAATCCAAGCCGAGACTGACTCAGTGAACGAAGGTACAAAACCACTGTAGGAGGACCAGAGGCAGCTGGTGCCCAGCTCTGCTAGCTACTGGCATCACGTACTGTTCTCCTCTAGCAGGTGCCTAGAGGCCATGCATATTCCTAAAGTGTCAGAGGCTGATGCCAGGGTGAAGGTGGGCAGGACCGTGTATCATCAGGTCTCTTTCAGAATCAGTCTAGTATCTCAGGTCTTAGCCTTCTTAAAGGCTTCTTAGGTCTTCTTATGAGGCACCGGACCCCACAGAGAGCCAAGGAGGAAAGGTTTTGCACAGTAGACGAGGTCTGACTGAGACAGTGAGACATCGCGGCCCCAGACAGGATGCTTATGTTCTGCAGCTGAAACGGGCAAGTTAGACTGGAGGTATCTGAGCAGCAGGGAGAAGACAGTCCGCTCCTGAGACCCCCACGAGGTTTGTGAGCTGCCAGTGTGTCCTATGATCCTAAATGTTCATTTTCTTGTCCTCGGTAAAGGTAACCGAGAAGGGTTCCTGTGGAAGCGGGGAAGGGATAACGCCCAGTTCCTGAGAAGGAGGTTTGTCCTTCTGGCCAGAGAAGGCCTCCTGAAGTACTACACTAAGGAAGAGGTAAGAGGCCAGACCAGCGGGTGGTGCCCTCCCTGAGCACTGGGCTCTCGCCCCACCGAAGTCTCCATTTTAATCGATGGTGCCTGTTCAGTCTAAAACCATCCAAAAATAGAACGCGTTCCCTGTATTCTTTTTGTTCCTTCCCCAAATAGAAATTATAAGTTATAAAGATAACACATTTTTCCATGGGAAAATAGAGAAAAGCAAAGTATAAAGAAAGTGAACCTCAGGGAAAAAAAGAAAAAAAGAAAAAAAAGAAAATGAACCTCAGAAGATATCTGAACATAACCAAAAAAATTTTTTTTGAGAGGTTTTTGCTATATAGGGCGCATGCACCCGCCTGAAAGACAGAGAGAGGCAGAGAGACAGAAAGTAAGAAATCACCCCCCAGGGGGGATGGCCACGCCGCAATCCCTCCTCCTCTATTCTCCTCTCGGGATCTTGGGCACGCATGCACATGCGCCCGGCATGAGTTTAAGTCACCGGGTGTGGACTCAAATCACAGCCGACTACATGGGAGTCCAGTGACATAGCCATTACTCCAACTGCTGGTCCCCATAACAAAATATTAATACCCAGAACACTTTTTTTTTTAAGTTACAAATCAAAAAGAAAAGGCAATCCAATAGAAAAATCAGCAAAGGAAATAGACCAGCAGTCATAAAAAACGGAAACCAAAATACCCGACAAATAGCAAAGAAGCTCAAGCTTTCTGGCGGCCAGGGCGTACAAACTGATACTGTAATGCCACACGCCGTGTACCCACCTGAATGGTTCAAGTTAAAACGGCCAACACCAAGCGTTGGTGAGAATGTGGAGCAACTAGAACTCTGCATTGCTGGCAGGATTGTACAATGACAACTCCTTTGTAAAACAATTTGGCAGTTGTTTGTTTGCTTTTGTCAAAGGGTGCATGTGCCAGAAGACAGAGAAAGAAAGAAGAGAGAGAGAGAAAGCTCGCCCAGTGAGGCCTGTCTATGCTACAATCCACTTTCCTCTGTCCCTCCATCCCATCAGGTCCTGGGCACTTGGGCACATGTGCCTAGCATGTTTTTCAAGCTATGGGGCCTGGGATTTGAACTATGTTTGGCCATGTGGAATCTGGAGCCAGTCCAATTTGGTACTTTTCTAATAAAGTTAAATGCACAACCGTATAACTCAGTCATTCCACTTCTAGATCCACTGAGGAAGAATAAAAACATATGTCCATGCAAAGTTTTTTTTTTTTTCTAATTTTTTTTGTTTTTTTTGAGAGATTTTCACTGTAGGGCGCGTGCGCTCGCTAGACAGACAGAGAGAGACATAGAGACAGAAAGCGAGAAATCACCCCCCAGGGGGGATGGTCACGCCGCAATCCCCTCTCCTCCATTCTCCTCTCGGGATCTTGGGCATGCACGCACACGCGCCCGGCGTGAGTTTTAAGCCACCGGGTCCGGGACACAAACCGCGGTCGACTACGTGGGAGTCCAGCGACATAGCCATTACGCTAACTGCTGGTTCCCTCCATGCAAAGTTTTGTACATGAATGTTCACAGAAGCTTTATTTGTAATTGTCAAAACCTGAAACCCCAAATATCCATCTACAACTGAATGAACAGATTTCAGTACATCCTGGGGCTGGCAGGTGGCGTGGTGGTTAAGGTACTGGACTGCCACACGACTGACCGTTGGTCCGCATCCTGGAGCTGGCAACTTGCTTTCTCGCTTTCCCTCTCTCTCTCTCTCTGGTCAAGTTAAAAATAAAAATAATACAAACATAATTAAATAATTAATTCTTTAATTTCTTTCAATATATCCCTAGAATAGAATAATACTCAGCAATAAAAAGGGATAAATTATTGATAAATGCAAACACATGGGTGAATCTCAAAAACATTAGTCTGGGGAACCAGCAGTTAGCGTAATGGCTATGTCGCTGGACTCCCACGTAGTCGACCGCGGTTCACGTCCTGGACCTGGTGGCTTAAAACTCACGCCGGGCGCGTGTGCGTGCGTGCCCAAGATCCCGAGAGGAGAATGGAGGAGAAGGGATTGCGGCGTGACCATCCCCCCTGGGGGGTGATTTCTCACTTTCTGTCTCTCTGTCTCTCTCTGTCTGTCTGGCGAGCGCACGCACCCATAGCAAAAACCTCTCAAAAAAAAAAAAAAGCATTAGTCTGAACAAAAGAAGCCTTATACAAGACTACTGTATAATTCTATTTCCATGAAACCCTAGAAGTAGGGCAAACTACCCTATGCCAATAGAAGACAGATAACTGGTCACCTGGACTCGTGTGGGTAGGGATTGACTGCAGAGAAGCATGAAGGAACTCTTTGGAGGGGGACAGTGATAATGTTTTATCTTGATATTTTGGTGGTTACATGACTACATAACTTTATTTTAAAAATTATTTTATTTAATTTTATTTATTCATTCATTTATTTTAATTTGACCATAGAGAGATACAGAGAGCGAGCGAGAAAGTGAGAAAGCAAGTCAACAGGTCCAGGACTCAAACTGTGGTCAGCCGTGTTGGTGTGTCCAGCGCCTTAACCACTATGCCACCTGCAGGTCCCTAAGTACATAACTTTATCAAAAATTAAACTGTAGGGAACCAGCAGTTAGTGTAATGGCTATGTTGCTGGACTCCCACGTAGTCGACCATGGTTCGCGTCCTGGACCTGGTGGCTTAAAACTCACGCCGGGCGTGTGTGCGTGCATACCCAAGATCCCGAGAGGAGAATGGAGGAGAGGGGATTGCAGCGTGACCATCTCCCCTGGGGGGTGATTTCTCGCTTTCTGTCTCTCTGTCTCTCTCTGTCTGGTGAGTGCACACGCCCTATAGCGAAAATCTCTACACCCCCCTAAAAAATTAAACCGTACACCTGGACCCTTGGCCCACTAGTTAGAGGAAGTATATCTTACAAAGCCAATCACAGTTGGAATCCTACCTGGTGATTTGAAATTCACGCTGGGGATATGTACGTGCATACCCAAAATTCCGACAGGATAGAGAAATGGAGGAGAAGGAATTGTGATACGACCATATCTCACTGGGGGATGCTTTCTCACTCTCTGTCTCTCTCTCTGGTGAGTATATGCACATGCTGGCAATTAAGAAAATCAAATTATGGGCCAGAAGATGGTGTAGTGGCTAAGGCACTGGATTCCCACATAGCCACATGCAGTTTGAGTCTCGGACCAGTGGCTTGAAACTCATGCCAGGCATGTGTGTGCACGTGCCCAAAATCCTGAGAGGAGCATGAAAGAGAAGGGATTGTGGCATGGCCATCCCCCCTGGGGGGGTGAGTTCTCACTTTCTGTCTCTTTGTCTGTCCCTGTCTCTCTGGTGAGCACATACATCCTAAAGCAAAAATTTCTCAAAAAAAAAAAAAATTGTAGGGAACCAGCAGTTAGCGTAATGGCTATGTCGCTGGACTCCCACGTAGTCGACCGCGGTTCGCGTCCCGGACCCGGTGGCTTAAAACTCACGCCGGGCGCGTGTGCGTGCGTGCCCAAGATCCCGAGAGGAGAATGGAGGAGAGGGGATTGCAG